TAATTTATATGCGGGTATGGTCAACAATGAACTGATCATTAAACAATTTTGGAGAGAGATTTTTCTTCCTATAATACTTGTTTGTGTCGAATTGCGTCGCTATACTAATATGGATTATTAAATCAGTTATGAGCGTTAGAGTCATTTTCCGAAGTAGACCTTATAAAAGGGGATTGGTCAATTATGTTCGGATCCTCTTAAAATTTGGTCGAGAAATTTTGTTCTTATAAAACTTGTTTGTGTCAAATTTCGTCGCTTACTGCTATTATTAAGTCACTTAAGAGCGATAGGGTAATTTTCTAGTGGTGATTTGGAAGATAGATATTGGTCCTTATAAAAGTTGTTTATTTTGAATTTTGTTGAAATATTGCTACTGTTAAGTCAATTATGATCGTTAGTCATTTTCTGAAAAGGACCTTATATTGGGGTTTGTAAAATATGGTTCGATGTCTGCAATACATCACAAAATAATTTCTGTATGCATAAAAAAAACTTTATCTTGATTGCCGCTTCTTTGTTTTCATAGATTTTCGGAAATTGGAATTTTTCTTTGAAAAAATTCTAAAACTGTTAAAATAATCTCTATATTACAAGGATTCGCTAAAAGTGCCATTTTTGTTTTATTTGATGCCAATTTATAACATTTCACAGTTTCGAAGTTAAAATTTTAATTTTTCATGAATTTTAAGGTAATTTTAGAACATAACCTTTTAGAATTTCTTTGATAGGGACGCTGATTTTAATTGTAGGAGTGTAAAATTTAGCAGGAACATGTATTTTGATACGGTGCGTCATAATCAATCAAAAAGTCGATTTTGATTTTTTTGTAACTTAGGGCTTTTTGGATTTAATATGAAGATTTTTAAAGTTTTAATAAACTAAAATTTTGTGGCTCTTTTAAAACATATGTTTTGTAAACTGTAAATTTTGGCTCTTCCGACTCAAAAGTTTGCCGACCCCTGGACTAGACTATAGACTAGACTATAGACTAGACTATAGACTAGACTATAGACTAGACTATAGACTAGACTATAGACTAGACTATAGACTAGACTATAGACTAGACTATAGACTAGACTATAGACTAGACTATAGACTAGACTATAGACTAGACTATAGACTAGACTATAGACTAGACTATAGACTAGACTATAGACTAGACTATAGACTAGACTATAGACTAGACTAGACTATAGACTAGACTATAGACTAGACTATAGACTAGACTATAGACTAGACTATAGACTAGACTATAGACTAGACTATAGACTAGACTATAGACTAGACTATAGACTAGACTATAGACTAGACTATAGACTAGACTATAGACTAGACTATAGACTAGACTATAGACTAGACTATAGACTAGACTATAGACTAGACTATAGACTAGACTATAGACTAGACTATAGACTAGACTATAGACTAGACTATAGACTAGACTATAGACTAGACTATAGACTAGACTATAGACTAGACTATAGACTAGACTATAGACTAGACTATAGACTAGACTATAGACTAGACTATAGACTAGACTATAGACTAGACTATAGACTAGACTATAGACTAGACTATAGACTAGACTATAGACTAGACTATGACTAGACTATAGACTAGACTATAGACTAGACTATAGACTAGACTATGACTAGACTATAGACTAGACTATAGACTAGACTATAGACTAGACTATAGACTAGACTATAGACTAGACTATAGACTAGACTATAGACTAGACTATAGACTAGACTATAGACTAGACTATAGACTAGACTATAGACTAGACTATAGACTAGACTATAGACTAGACTATAGACTAGACTATAGACTAGACTAGACTAGACTATAGACTAGACTAGACTATAGACTAGACTAGACTATAGACTAGACTAGACTATAGACTAGACTATAGACTAGACTATAGACTAGACTATAGACTAGACTATAGACTAGACTATAGACTAGACTATAGACTAGACTATAGACTAGACTATAGACTAGACTATAGACTAGACTATAGACTAGACTATAGACTAGACTATAGACTATAGACTAGACTATAGACTAGACTATAGACTAGACTATAGACTAGACTATAGACTATAGACTAGACTATAGACTAGACTATAGACTAGACTATAGACTAGACTATAGACTAGACTATAGACTAGACTATAGACTAGACTATAGACTAGACTATAGACTAGACTATAGACTAGACTATAGCCTAGACTATAGACTAGACTATAGACTAGACTATAGACTAGACTATAGACTAGACTATAGACTAGACTATAGACTAGACTATAGGACTAGCCTATAGACTAGACTATAGACTAGACTATAGACTAGACTATAGACTAGACTATAGACTCTAGACTATAGACTAGACTATCGACTAGACTATAGACTAGACTATAGACTAGACTATAGACTAGACTATAGACTAGACTATAGACTAGACTATAGACTAGGACTATAGACTAGACTATAGACTAGGACTATAGACTAGACTATAGACTAGACTATAGACTAGACTATAGACTAGACTATAGACTAGGACTATAGACTAGACTATAGACTAGACTATAGACTAGACTATAGACTAGACTATAGACTAGACTATAGACTAGACTTATAGACTAGACTATAAGGCTAGACTATAGACTAGAGTCTAGACTAGACTATAGACTGACATAGACTAGACTATAGATAGACTAGACTATAGACTAGACTATAGACTAGACTAGACTATAGACTAGACTAGACTATAGACTAGACTATAGACTAGACTATAGACTAGACTATAGACTAGACTATAGACTAGACTATAGACTAGACTATAGACTAGACTATAGACTAGACTATAGACTAGACTATAGACTAGACTATAGACTATACTATAGACTAGACTATAGGCTAGACTATAGACTAGACTATAGACTAGACTATAGACTAGACTATAGGCTAGACTATAGACTAGACTATAGACTAGACTATAGACTAGACTATAGACTAGACTATAGACTAGACTATAGACTAGACTATAGGCTAGACTATAGACTAGACTATAGACTAGACTATAGACTAGACTATAGACTAGACTATAGACTAGACTATAGGCTAGACTATAGACTAGACTATAGACTAGACTATAGACTAGACTATAGACTAGACTATAGACTAGACTATAGACTAGACTATAGACTAGACTATAGACTAGACTATAGACTAGACTAGACTATAGACTAGACTAGACTATAGACTAGACTAGACTAGACTATAGACTAGACTATAGACTAGACTATAGACTAGACTATAGACTAGACTGTAGACTAGACTATAGACTAGACTATAGACTAGACTATAGACTAGACTATAGACTAGACTATAGACTAGACTATAGACTAGACTATAGACTAGACTATAGACTAGACTATAGACTAGACTATAGACTAGACTATAGACTAGACTATAGACTAGACTATAGACTAGACGACTATAGACTAGACTATAGACTAGACTAGACTAGACTATAGACTAGACTAGACTATAGACTAGACTATAGACTAGACTATAGACTAGACTATAGACTAGACTATAGACTAGACTATAGACTAGACTAGACTATAGACTAGACTAGACTATAGACTAGACTATAGACTAGACTATAGACTAGACTATAGACTAGACTAGAGACTAGACTATAGACTAGACTATAGACTAGACTATAGACTAGACTATAGACTAGGACTATAGACTAGACTATAGACTAGACTATAGACTAGACTATAGACTAGACTATAGACTAGACTATAGACCTAGACTATAGACTAGGACTATAGACTAGACTATAGACTAGACTATAGACTAGACTATAGACCTAGACTATAGACTAGGACTATAGACTGACGATAGACTAGACAATTGCCTAGACTATAGACTAGCCCTATAGACTAGACTATAGACTAGGACTATAGACTAGACTATAGACTAGGACTATCGACTAGATCTATAGACTAGAACTATAGACTAGACTATAGACCTAGACCTATAGACTAGACTATAGACTAGACTATAGACTAGACTATAGACTAGACTATAGACTAGACTCGACTAGGACTATAGGACTAGACTATAGACCCTAGACTATAGATAGACTATAGACTAGACTAGACTAGACTATAGACTAGACTATAGACTAGACTATAGACTAGACTAAATAGACTAGACTATAGACTAGGACTATAGACTAGACTATAGACTAGACTATAGACTAGACTATAGACTAGACTATAGACTAGACTATAGACTAGACTTAGACTAGACTATAGACTAGACTATAGACTAGACTATAGACTAGACTATAGACTAGACTATAGACTAGACTATAGACTAGACTATAGACTAGACTATAGACTAGACTATATAGACCTTTTGTTTATTGGAATGTGATAAGAAAAACAGATTACCAGCTCTGAATGAAAGTATAAACATGAATGAAAGTATAAACATGTGTACATGTGTATGTAAGAGAGAGAGAGAGTGACACTCTAGTGTGATTATTACAATGTTCACATTTAGCAATTGTACTCATTGAAATTATAAATGCCAGGAAAATGTTTGTATTTATACGATTTGTTTGAATGACATACGCTCAAAGCACTGCTACTATTAAACCACAAACACTAATAAAATCACACATGCACACATAAATACTTTGACATTTGTGTTGTGTTTTGATGTATTTGCCAGGATTGTGGGTTTTACCGCTACTCTCTCAAGCACACACACACAACCATACAGTATAGTTGTATTTAATAATATTTTCAATTTACAATACATTTACATATTGTTGGCCATTAGTTGTTCTTCACTCTTTTTTGTTGCTATTCTTGTGGAAATTCCTTTTACTTCCTTTTTCTCTTTATGTTTGGCTATTACACTTTATATTTATTATTATTTTATAACAATTTGTTATTATTGTTTATTTTCAGCTTCCGGTTTGCAAAAGGAAATTGCTATAAGGGAATTTTGCTCCTTTTTTTGTATACAAATAAAATAAATTGGCTACGAAATATTCAAAAAGAAACACACATATAAATTCTAATTTATTTTTCACATTAAACCCTAAGCCTCAAAACGAAATCGCCTTAATCATACAGCGAGCTTACGTTATTTTGCCTGCCTCATCATGATAAATTGCAGAAGAGAGTTAATAATTTAAACAATAAATTTTTTATAAAACATCAATCATACATATAAACGTGTGCGCCCCCTTTAACGCCAAAATTAACCTCAGCTAAATTTTTGTTAGCATTTTGAAACGGTGATTATGAATAAAAAACCACCCTTGCCAATAACGGCATTTATTGGCGGTCCACAAACAAATGCTGGCTCTCTAGCGGCAAATAATGCCAACAGTGCGACAAACTCATCGATGTGTTTCTCGACGCCGGCGAAAAGTGAAAAACAGCGTGATCATCACAATCAGGCAAATACGGGCAATACAGGTCTGTGCGGCTGCCACAAGGCACCAAAATCACATTGCATATCGGCCACAGGTATGTTGAGAAATTAACACGCTTAGTGACTATTAGAAATTACATAATATAACTTTTGTTTTATAAAATGCTGTTTTAAATGTTCAGCATTTTTTAGTATAAAAATAAAACTAACCTTTTTCTTGTTGTTTTTCTTTTTATGGTTTATTTTTCGTTTGGTCCTTTTTTTGCTAAAGGAGTTTTAATATTAGTTCTTCTATACACCGCCATGGGTTCTATAATATTTGTTACGCTTGAAGGAGAACTTGATGACACTAGTTCTTTAGAGACGGCTGTAGCGGCTTCGAAACCATATCCCCGTAACGAGTTAGCCAATGCGGAAATAAGATCGAGGTAAGTAGTTTGTTTGTAACAAAAATAAATAAACAAATATTTAAATTTCTAAAAATTACTTGCTTTTCTTCAAGTGTTATTAGTTTTAAGACCCTATTTTAATTAACTAAGGTTAATTATTAAAAGTAACAAGAAATTATAAAAAGCAAAACTTAAAAGAAATTTGTTTAAAAATCTTAAGTTAAAAGTTAAATATAATTTGTTAACATAAAGGATTTTGTATTACTTTGTTTGTTTTACTTATTAAACACTTATTATTCTCATTTGTTTAAATTTAATATTAAACTTTTATAATCCGTTAAATATTTGTTTATTTTTGTCATTTATAAATATGTTATTGTTAATAATAATAACTGGTAAATTAAAAAAATCAACAAAAAAAAAATATGTCATTAAAAAGATTATTGGGTTCATTAAACAATCATAATTAATAATTAAATAAATATGTTGATTAACTATTATAGAATTTATGGCATTTTTGTGGCATGTTTAAACTAAAACTCGTTTTTTTTTCCTTTCTCTGTTTGCAATTATATTACTTTTTTTTTATAGAATTTCAATTATTTTTAAAATATTTATCTTAAATTGATCTAATTGGTTTCAGTGAGAATACACATTAAGGATAATAGTTATTAAATTTAGATATAGAAGAGATAACTGATAAAGAACTAATTGGGTAATTAGTTCTTGGTATTGGAAAAGGTTCAGTTAGGAAAAGAACATATTTAGAGGAGGAAGTAAAACTTGTTTACAAGAGTGTTTTTGTTTCGAAATATATATAATGTCCTTCCGACTATTCCAATCTATTCCATTAATTAGTCAATAGGTTAGATAGAACTGATGGGTCAATATACTAGAAAATAGATTAGTACATGAACTAAACTATAGTCTAGTCAATAGTCCAGGCCAAGTCCATAGTCTGAATTATAGTTGAAAAGAATTAAGAGAAAAACAACTTTAAATATTTCTTTTAGTGTATTACTAACAAATATTTTAGGTTTATTTTGTTTGTATTTATTTGTTTAGGAAATAAATAATTACTATTGCATTTTTTATAAATATGTTTAAACATATAAATACTTATAATTTCCAGTATTTAAACAAAAGGCAACAATTAAAAAAATTAAAAAATAAATTCAATTAATTTTATTAAAATAAATACAAAAAAGCAGTTAGTCAGACATACACTTGCTAAATCGATATTTGTCAACAATATGCTGATAAAAAATACTTAATTTTATTATCTTAAATGTATAACACTTTTTTTTCCAAAGACACGTATGCAAATTTTTATATTATTTTCAATTAGTATTAATTAAACTATAATTATTTAAATTCAATATGTGTTTGTGAAGTTCCTAATCATTAACACTAACACGTGGAAAAAGTTTTTCTTTCGTTTTTTTTTATTTGCTCTATTAAAATTTTATTTTTGTAATAAATACTTTAATGGATTTGATATAAAAACTTCAATGTTGCCTGTAAAAGATACATATAAATAAATTAAAGGTGTCAAAAGTATTAAAGGAGACAGAGAAAGAGATAATGTAAATATTTAGCTTGACAAATAGTATCTGTGTAGTTTTTACGGAAATAAAGTTGTAATTTAGTTGGTAAATTAAAACTGGCACAAACTAGAAAAACAACTAAAACAAAAATAAGATTAAAAAAGTAATAAAACTTTTTAGGAAACAAATGTCCGAATGCATTTAAATTGTACAAATAAATATATAGTGAGGTTTAAAAATGTAGCAGTAGGACTTTTGTACGATAAAAAAGTTGAAAGAACTAAAACTCGCTGAACATTTTCAGGCCACTATCGGGCCTGTTGTGCTCTCTGCTAAGAATATAACATACTACCACCGAACTGTTACAGCACCCTATTTTTGTTTTTAATATTGTTGGTTGTGCTAAAATATTACTCTTTAATCCTTTTTTACATATAAAATGAATCTTAAATAAAGATACAAAATGTCAGTGTGTGTGAGAGATGAGAATAAAAACCATACAGCTGTAAAAACCCAGCAGTTTTATACGAGATTTTTCTTCAAATGTCTATCTTTATGATTGACTAAAATTTATTGTATATGTTTTGAGTGGAAGAGCCTAAGTAATCTAGAAGGTAGTCAACTTTGAGTCTTGAGTGACCCTAGATAATAGAGAGAGAAGTAATCTATTGCAAAATTGTAGTTTGCCAAAAAATTGAAATTTGGTAAAAAAAAGTGATCACAGATTTTTAGCCTTTTGGTCCTAGCTCTTCTAGATTAGCCAGAAAATGGACATTTATGTTTTCAGCCAAAACATCGAATTTTGGTAAGAAATAAAAGTGATCACATATTTTCATTGTTTTGGCCCTAGCTCTTCCAGTTTAGCCAGAAAATGGACTTTTATGTTTTCACCCAAAAAATCGAATTTTGGTAGGAAATACAAGTGATCACAGATTTTTAGCCATTTGGCCCTAGCTCTTCTAGATTAGCCAGAAAATGAACTTATATGTATCTTTTGCAGCCAAAAAATCGAATTTTGGTAGGAATTACAAGTGATCACAGATTTTAATTGTTTTGGCCCTAGCTCTTCTAGTTTAGCCAGAAAATGGACATTTATGTTTTCAGCCAAAAAATCGAATTTATGTAGGAAATACAAATGATCACAGATTTTTAGCCTTTTCGTCCTAGCTCTTCTAGATTAGCCAGAAAATTGACTTTTATGTTTTCAGCCAAAAAATCGAATTTTGGTAAAAAATACAAGTGATCACAGATTTTCATTGTTTTGGCCCTAGCTCTTCTAGTTTAGCCAGAAAATGGACTTTTATGTTTTCAGCCAAAAAATCGAATTTATGTAGGAAATACAAGTGATGAGAGATTTTCATTGTTTTGGACCTAGCTTTTCTAGTTTAGCCAGAAAATGGACTTTTATGTTTTCAGCCAAAAAATCAAATTTTGGTAGGAAATACAAGTGATCACAGATTTTCATTGTTTTGGCCCTAGCTCTTCCAGTTTAGCCAGAAAATGGACTTTTATGTTTTCAGCCAAAAAAATCGAATTTTGGTAGGAAATACAAGTGATCACAGATTTTCATTGTTTTGGCCCTAGCTCTTCTAGTTTAGCCAGAAAATGGACTTTAATGTTTTCAGCCAAAAAATCGAATTTTTGTAGGAAATACAAGTGATCACAGATTTTCATTGTTTTGGCCCTAGCTCTTCTAGTTTAGCTAGAAATGGACTTTTATGTTTTCAGCCAAAAAATCGAAAATAAAAGTGAATACAGATTTTCATTGTTTTGGCCCTAGCTCTTCTAGTTTAGCCAGAAAATGGACTTTTATGTTTTCAGGCAAAAAATCGAATTTTGGTAGGAAATACAAATGATCACAGATTTTCATCGTTTTGGCCCTAGCTCTTCTAGATTAGCCAGAAAAAGGACTTTTATGTTTTCAGCCAAAAAATCGAATTTTGGTAGGAAATACAAGTGATCACAGATTTTCATTGTTTTGGCCCTAGCTCTTCCAGTTTAGCCAGAAAATGGACTTTTATGTTTTCAGGCAAAAAATCGAATTTTGGCAGGAAATACAAGTGATCACAGATTTTCATCGTTTTGGCCCTAGCTCTTCTAGATTAGCCAGAAAATGGACTTTTATGTTTTCAGCCAAAAAACCGAATTTCGGTAGGAAATACAAGTGATCACAGATTTTCATTGTTTTGGCCCTAGCTCTTCTAGTTTAGCCAGAAAATGGACTTTTATGTTTTCAGCCAAAAAACCGAATTTTGGTAGGAAATACAAGTGATCACAGATTTTCATTGTTTTGGCCCTAGCTCTTCTAGTTTAGCCAGAAAATGGACTTTTATGTTTTCAGCCAAAAAACCGAATTTTGGTAGGAAATACAAGTGATCACAGATTTTCATCGTTTTGGCCCTAGCTCTTGTAGTTTAGCCAGAAAATGGACTTTTATGTTTTCAGCCAAAAAATCGAATTTTGGTAGGAAATACAAGTGATCACAGATTTTCATTGTTTTGGCCCTAGCTCTTCTAGTTTAGCCAGAAAATGGACTTTTATGTTTTCAGCCAAAAAATCGAATTTATGTGGGAAATACAAGTGATGACAGATTTTCATTGTTTTGGCCCTAGCTCTTCTAGTTTAGCCAGAAAATGGACTTTTATGTTTTCAGCCAAAAAATCGAATTTTGGTAGGAAATACAAGTGATCACAGATTTTCATCGTTTTGTCCCTAGCTCTTCTAGATTAGCCAGAAAAAGGACTTTTATGTCTTCAGCCAAAAAATCGAATTTTGGTAGGAAATACAAGTGATCACAGATTTTCTTCGTTTTGGCCCTAGCTCTTGTAGTTTAGCCAGAAAATGGACTTTTATGTTTTCAGCCAAAAAATCGAATTTTTGTAGGAAATACAAGTGATCACAGATTTTCATTGTTTTGGCCCTAGCTCTTCTAGTTTAGCCAGAAAATGGACTTTTATGTTTTTAGGCAAAAAATCGAATTTTGGTAGGAAATACAAGTGATCACAGATTTTCATTGTTTTGGCCCTAGCTCTTCTAGTTTAGCCAGAAAATCGACTTTTATGTTTTCAGGCAAAAAATCGAATTTTGGTAGGAAATACAAGTGATCACAAATTTTCATCGTTTTGGCCCTAGCTCTTCTAGTTTAGCCAGAAAATAGACTTTCATGTTTTCAGCCAAAAAATCGAATTTTTGTAGGAAATACAAGTGATCACAGATTTTCATCGTTTTGGCCCTAGCTCTTCTAGTTTAGCCAGAAAATGGACTTTTATGTTTTCAGCCAAAAAACCGAATTTTGGTAGAAAATATAAGTGATCACAGATTTTCATCGTTTTGGCCCTAGCTCTTCTAGTTTAGCCAGAAAAAGGACTTTTATGTTTTCAGCCAAAAAATCGAATTTTTGTAGGAAATACAAGTAGGAAATACAAGTGATCACAGATTTTCATTGTTTTGGCCCTAGCTCTTCTAGTTTAGCCAGAAAATGGACTTTTATGT